CATATATTTATAAATGTATATAACTATAAGCATATATAAAGTGTCATATATGTCTATATAAACATAAATACTGTAATCCCTTGCCATTTATTGATTCAACTTTTGCAGGTTCACTGTTTCATGGGTTTTCAAATAATATTAATCTAAGTTATTTATTGCATATTTTTTGCTATATGGTGGGATTTTGCAGTACCATATAGTATACGTATGTTGTTAAAATTACATAGGCTTACAAGTTTAGAAAATGGTTAAGAGTGTTAGACATGTTTTTAAAAGTGTGGGAAAGATTTATAAGAGTGTTGGAAGGGTTTATAAAGCCTTAAAATATGTATACATACTAAAACAAATATAACGCTACTTTGCTGATTTCTTACTTACTGCAGGGTGTCTGGAACATAACCTCATGAAAAGTGGGGAACACTGTATTTATAAATGTTCCATGTAAATATACATAAACATGTGCATTTACTTGTAACGTGTAAGTATCAGCAATACTCAAAACTTTACTGAATTCCGGCTTTGCCACTTCTAGTTGCATGAGTTTGAGTAGTGCTATCTCTAAAACCCAGTTTCCTCTCAGTGCCCTCTAATATCTAGTTAGTATAATACTTCATTATTTTTTAAAAATATAAAGTTAATTGCCTTGTACTCATTGAGCAGATAATAGCTACTAGTTCCCATTATCTACTCTAAAAATTAGGCAAAAGGTGATTCATTCCTATGTATTTGGTATAAATTTTCTTTTTCTCTTTCTTTTTTTTTTTTTTGTTGCGGTACTGTGGATTTAACTCAGGACCCTGCGCTTGCTTGCCAGGCAAGTGCTTATTCTACTGAGCTATCTCCCTGGCCCCTATACAATTTTCAAAGTGAAATATAAATTTTGAAGACTCCCTTTACCTGGTACATTTCTGATTTGGTCATGAACACAAAGAAAACCCTGCCAATATTACAAAAATCAACCTCTGATGTCCTTGTTGGCTACGTTAAGAATTGCGGCCGGTGACTCTGACCGCTGAGAGCTCCTTACACTTGCGAAGAGTCGCAGGAGACATCCACAGGAAGTGCAATCTAGCAGCACACTGTATCCCTTTCTCCTGAGGTGCGTGCACAAGATACGCTCGCAAGGGGGCAGCATTGCGACTCCTAGCTGGGGGACAGCGCACATCTATACTTCATTTCCAGTGCTAGTTTCTTTTAATTACACGGACTTCAAGCCTCTGAGGGGCAGACTTTACAACCAGAGGTATCAAATGTATACCTGGTACCCTTACAAGTCAACCGGAAGGGGTACTGCAGGGAAGCCAGAGAATGCGCCTCTCAAAGGATAGCTCAATAGAGAAAACACTTCTCTCTAAGGATTTTCTTATCAGCACCCGTGAAAACCTCCTGTCTGATAGGGTTCCACTGTCAATACAGTATTCATAAGCCGGAAGGAAGTGGAGAAAAGGTCAGTTTGAACAGGCAGCATATTCAATGTGTGCTATGTGTTGATATTTTCAGAAAACCTAGCTAAAACCCAAACTTGTAAAATGCTTTATGGTTTTACAAAGTGCTTTCTTTACATTAACTCCCAGAATTCAAAGAGGAAAGTTACCCGGATATTATTTAACATCTGTCCTAGAAGTAAGTTAATTAACTTATTCAAAGACTGACGACAGATTCATGACAGAATTACTTCCCGAACTCAAGCAGAGAAAGCTGTTGTTTGTTCATTTGGTTTCCATTAAGTAAAGCTATTCTATGTTTTGCCCTGATACAAGATGTGCTTTATTCTTCAATCTGAGAAGATTTTAGAATTTTGTAAGTATGTCTGTGCCACATAAAAGGCAGCATTTAAGGGCATTTTCTTTAAAATATTTAATTATTAAATAAAGATTGTGTATTTTCAAGGTGCATAATATAATTTGATATCTTTCAAAACACAGCAGAACTGTTAGCACCATCGCATTAATTAAAATATCGACTTCTGCCCACGCTGCTCATCGGAGCTATGGAAGTGAGAGTCTGTGCTCTCCAAACAACCTGTCCTCATTTTTCCTCAGCCCTAGCCCCTGGCTATCACCATTCTCCTCTCTGATTTGATGTGCTCAACTGTTTTGGGTTTCACGTGGAGGTGCAGTCCCGTGATGCTTGCCTTTCTGTATCAGCCTCATTCATTTAGCACGAGCTCTGCCAGATTCACTGTGCTGTTAATTTACTTCTTTGATTGGATGAATAATATCCATTGTGTATGTGTGCTATACTTTCCTTATATTTCTTAGTGCATATTATTTATGTGAACTAATGGGTTTCATTTTGGAGTATTCATACATGCACATAACATGTTTCAAACTTTCACCTTCCATCATTTCTCCTCCCACTTTCTCTAAAAGTCTCCCTCCTATATTTAATTTAATATAATTTAATTTTTGTGTTTAGGACAGGGCCTACAGGGTCCACAGGGTCTCACTATGTAGATCAGACTTGTAGTGAATCTTTTGTTTTCAGCCTCCCAAGCGCTATGATTATGCATGTGTGCCAACATGCCCTGTCTCATTTGCAGTCTCAGCGAGCCCCAGGGGCCGGGCCAGCACAGCATGCTGGGGATCGAACCGGTGCACTGAGCTCTGCCTAAGTCCTTCCTACATTTTAGGTGCGACATTTCTTATAGGTTTTCAAGTCCTGCAATGGATCAGACAAACACCGCCTGTGTAATATTTACTATTTGTGCCTTCCTACGCAACCCCACCAGGAACCAGTTTAATCTGCATTTATCATTGATATCACCAGAAATGAATACCAACAGATGTATTTTTATTATAAGTAAACCACATACTTTCAATTGTAACAAAAATGTAAGAAGAGTTTTCTTGTTTTCGAAGAAAACGATTAAGAGCCAGGTTCCACCTGAGCCTGCTGCAGCCTTGCAAGAGAGAACCCTCTGCTGCTGGGGAGGCTCAAGGCTGAATATCAGGAGAGGCACTCAGGTTGTTTTATAAAACCAGACCAGAGGTCACAGTGTCAAGTGGCTTTAGGATCTGGGTAGGTAACTTAAGGCAGTTTGAGGTAAGTGAAAGAAATGGTTCATCCTTTAACTACACAGTCCTTTCAGCAGCTTTCATTTTCCCACTATTTTTTTCCTCCATGAGACAGGGTCTCACTATGCAGTTTAGGCTGGCTTTGAGCCTACTGTGGAGTCCAGGCTGGCCTGGAACTCATGGCGATCCTCCTGCCTCAGCCTCCCAAGTGCTGGGATTACAGGCACATCACCACTCCCAGCTTTCCCATTTCCAGTAGGGTTAGTAGTACAGGCTTTCTCTTTTTCCTAGCTCTTCTCTTAAGAAGAATCATATAACCATGGCAACAGTGGCGCTGGGATGGTTGGCATGGGGTGGAGTAGTGCAGAGTGCTAGTCTGTGGTAATCTGCACAGACATCCCATCTAAGAGGACAGCACTTCTCAGGCCGTGCTCTCGACCAGCTTGAGGGGATGTAGTTGTCATCTCAGTAGATCATCAACTTTTTAAAGAGAAGTTGAACTTCCTGGTTTTTTTTTTTTTTTTTTTTTTTTTTTTGTATGAAGTCTTCTCATTTAAAGAAATTTTCAGCTAACACAAAAATTTAAAGAATGCTGGCAGGTCTAAAGAAGCCTGTGGGCAGAGTCTAGACCTTTGGCCATCACTTTGTGACCACTGAACGGGGCCTTTTGGAATGCAATTTCTCCTGAGCGCCTACCTGGGAATCAGTGATCTACTACAGATCCCCCGCTGAGAGCAAAGTTCTCCTAAACTTAACAGATCTATAAAACAAAGTCTAGTCTTTATAAAATCCACGACTCGTTTGCTGCCACCGTATTTAATACAGCTCCAGAGTCCACTCTATGGCTTGCGCTCCAACACCTACCTTTCTACTTTGCAGGCGCAACCTAACAAGCAACCGCACTTTACCTCACAGTTTCCCTCCCTGAGTTCCACCCAATCAGCCCTCGTTTCTCCAGCCCCTCTGTCGCCCTCCCATTCTGGGATGTTGCTGCTTCTCCCTCGATACAAGCAACAGGCCTCCGCAGTCATTTTGCCTTTCCTTATTCTCCCACGAAACAGTCTTTCAGGCTGAGATCTGATCTTCTAACTTTCTAGCTGAAAAACTTTTAATGACGTCAGATTAATACCAGGATGGAGTCCTGGTTAGCCTGACTTTTAGGGCCTCCATATCTGGTTCCATTTAATAATTCCTGGGCAAATACTCACGGAGCATCTATGGCCGAGATATTCTAAGCTCTAATATACGGCATTGAACAAAACAGGCCCAAACCTTCGCCTTCAGCATTGCTTCCTGAGTATTACTTAAAGCATGGCCTCTTGTGCGCGAACATTCGTCAACTGAGTCTTCATTCCACTTACACTTGTGGTCTCTCATGTCGCAGGCAGCATTCTCTGGAACAAAGGCTCCTAAAACACAGCGCCTATATTATTTGTCCCCAGCACTGTTATTCACAACTCGGAAAGAACATGGAAACCTCTCCTGCCACTACCACGGTGCATCCCCATCTTCGTTAGGGTCTACTCTTCTGATTTTTTGTCTCCACTTCCTTAGTAATACCAGAAAATGCAAACGTGAGTATCACTCGGGTTTTATTTTGGAGCCACCATTTTCTAGGATCAGAGATTTGGAGATTCACTCTTCAGATTTTGTACAGTGGCCTCCAGTTACCAAAGGGTATTGGTTGGCTAACTGAATAAAGGAGAGAATGCACCCACAGGTGCTGGGCCATTACTATGACGTAGCCATTGTTGGTTGGTTTGGCCTAGAACACGCACTGAACTTCTTAACTTCCTTGCCCTTTTTGAGTACCATAGTCCTTGCCATTTCAGCACACATTCTGTGCCTCAACTTGTAGCTCATTATCTCTTCTTTTTTTAATTTTTGGTACCAGAGATCAAACTCGGGACCTTGCACTTGCCAGATAGGTGCTTATGCCACTGAGCTACCACCCTGGCCCTCTTTTTATCTTGATAAAAATATTTTGGTTACTACTCTCATTGTGAAGACAAAATGCCCAATTCCTAATGTTCAGAGGAAAGGTTTATGTGGTTCAGGGTTTGTAGAGATTTCAGTCCACACAGAGCTGGCTCTGAGGCAGGATGACGCAGGGCAGAGAAGCAACAGTTCATGGGAGGAAGACAGCAAAAGCAACAAGCTAGGGACAAGAGTTTCTGTTCCTTACATTGTATGCAGGCCACCCTGCTTAGGGTGGGTGCAGCCTTCACACCTTTAGTCCTAGCCAGAATGCGGCTAAACCAACCAGTGGACTGGTTTAGGAATCACACGCCCTTAACCAGAGCTACACACTCTAGATCCAGCCACTTGAAAGGCACCCCGACCATGACTGCATAAGGCTTTGAGGGGACATCCAGACACAAGCCATAATGATGAGGTTCTTTAGAAATCTGTCCTTGTGCCTACGTGTTCTACACAGTATTAGAAAGGCAGGGATAAGTGCCAGGAGGATGAGGATGGTCATGAGTTTTTGAAGCAGACAGAGGTAGACAAGGAAAAGAGATGACAACACCAAGAAAACATGAGGATAGGGGATCAGATCCAGCGCAGGAGCCTCAGTCATGTGCATCTGAGCTGGTTCTTAATAGAAGCTTAGGATTTCAACAGGAGGAAGAGAAGTAGCTAGAATCTGTGGGGTGGACTATTCCAGGCAAGAGATGAAGGATACAAAGTGCATCTTGCATTCAAGAGACAGTATCATGTGGAGAGGCTTCTGCAGGGCTGCTGATGGGTAAAGAAGGGAGCAACAATGGGGGGACCTGAGGCAGCCACACCTCAGGGTCATAAGGTGCCACACCTGTGGTGGAGAAGGAGGTTGTGACAAGGCATGAGAACAAGCAGGCACTTTTTGGGGTGTCTGCAAAGATTTTTTCTTTTTAAGGACAGGGTCTCTTTAAGCAGTTCAGGCTGGCCTTGAACTCACTAGTAGCCTAAACCGGTCTTGAACTTGAGGTCATCTTCCTGCTTCAGCCTCCCAAGGGCTGGGGTAACAGGCCTACACCCTCATGCACAACCAGGCTAGAGACTTATGGAATTTAAAGCAGCCATTGCACATCTGTGAGATCAGAACCTCTAATACTCTTCCAAGCATGGGTTTCTTAGATATATTGGTTTCCTTCCTTCCTTCCTTCCTTCCTTCCTTCCTTCCTTCCTTCCTTTCCTTCCTTCCTTCCTTCCTT